GGGGAACAGACCAGGCAGATTGACTGAAATACACTGCTGAGGGGAGCAGCGGACGAGTCAGGAGAGGTCTGAGGTCTGCTGTACCGTGTGAGGATATCCCTGGGCAGGGATCAAACTCAGGTTGCAGTGGTTGTGGACAGCCTCATAGGATGCGTCTTAACCCCCTGCACCACCAGGGAGGACCCTCAGCAAATTTTTTAATTTTAGATTGGTCTCCCAATCCATTGCCTGCTTTATTTGGAGTATGCTTAGGTATTTACAAACTAACAGAATTAGATCACCTAAAAGTGAACACAAGTATGTATTCCAAAAGATAACTTATATACCGTCTGTTCTTTTGAATTCTGTGGCTCTGCTTCTTTGTAGACAGAGATTGTATTTGGTTAGTTACTGTCTGGAACATAGAACCATCAGTCACTACTTGATGAGACGTTGAATATTTACTGTATTTGCCCTTTTCTATCCCATGCACCCTTATATTTTGCCCTTTTAATATCGCCACCTGACATCCTCTTCTCCTTACAGAATGTGTGTAAGAACTGCAGAGGAGCCTTCTGTAATGCCTGTTCAACAAACGAACTGCCACTTCCTTCAAGTATTAAGCCTGAGCGAGTGTGCAATCCCTGTCACAAACATCTGATGAAACAATATTCCACTAGTCCATCGTAAGACTGAAGGCCAACACCTAGACCAAAATGTCTGTTAGGTATCAGGATCCCCTAGAGTACAGAACTTAGAATCAACTCAAAGAGTTGATAGGAATGATTTAAATAAACCAGGTCCATCCAGGGAGAAAAAGCAGTGGTTGGGGGTGTTGGAAATTTTGCTCATTTCCTACTGACTGTATGAATAAAGGTTACTCAGTTGAGCCTCTCTCTTCTAAATCTAAGCAACCCCACACTGAAGTTTATTTGATAACATAACTTTGGAGGAACTATTCATTTTTATGAGTAGTGATGATAATACTGGAGTGGATATAGTAGGAGAGGGTCTAAGCATGTAAGAAAAAAAAGAATTATAATCTCCCTGTTAACATTTGTGACGTCAAGAGGGAAAAGATTAATATTAACTGAGATCAAGATGACGTATTACATATCTTCCCAGGTGCTGCTAGACATAAACACTTTCCTCACCTCACTACCTACCTCTTTAAAGTACCTCCACCAAACTGTGAACCCAGACTCAGGGAAAGGAAATTATATAGTAATATAAATTCTGAATGTACTTAAAACAACATTGTAATATATTATAATTTCAGTGCCTGGTCTTGGCCTGCAAGTGCTTTCATTATCAAAAGAAACACTTGCCCTTTTTCCACTTAAAAACTTCAAAAGTAATCTGTTGTTTTCAGAATCTCTTCCTACAAAGTAAGCCAACTCTTACCCAGACCCCACCTTCCTCTCCAAGTCATGATGGAAACTGTGAGTTTAAAGATAGGGTTTGACTTATGGATAGGAAGTACTGAAAATAAAGCTAATAAAATAAGTCAGGTGTAGAGTAAAATTAATTTGTTATGGCTAAGAATGGTTAGAATATGTAGTTTTTGAAGAAGGAATCCCTTACTCTGAGCCAAGCATTAGAACAGGTAGATGTCTAGCTTGTTTGATTCCAATTAAGACGTAAAAAGATAAGATTTTGTAACTGGTGCAGAATTCTGGGGTGGAAAGATGGTATTTGATCAAGCCTGTCTCCTGGAAATGGTTTACAGCCTGGGAAAGAGTTGTTATGAAGTTGAGTTTTCAGAGTACTAGGGAAAAATAAAATAATACTCCTAGCCTAGTTTGTCGTCTTTCTTTCTCTTTAAATAATTTGTGTGTGACTCTTTATTCTCCGGTTTTTTTATGTACATGTACTTGCCAATATAATATGTAACAGGACTATTCTAGGTGCTATAGATAATGTGGGGAATTAACCTAAATTAACAAGTTTTTTAATTAGTTTAGAATTAAATTGAAAAGTGGCAACTGTGCATAGAATGCGGAATAAGCCACTTGAGAAGTTCATTATGAATTGCACGTAAGGTATTTAGCCTTTTTAAAAAAAAAAAAACAAAGCCCCAAAATCTCTGGTTATTGGTGCTGTTAGCTACCCCACAAAAACCACTTACAATATCAAAAATGAGATTACAAGGAATAAACTTTAGAGGCAAAAGTCTTATACACTGAAGACCACAAAACATTACCAAAAGAAATTAGAGATACTAACAGATACGCCATGTTCATGAGTTAGAAGACTGCACATCATTAAGTTGTGAGCTATACCCAAAGTGAGCTGCAGATTCAATGTAATCTCTAAATTCATGTAGAAATTTAAGGGGCCCTCATACTTCCTGATTGCAAAATTATTATAAAGCAAATCATAGTATGGTATTTGGTTTACAAACAATACAAACTAGAAAGCCTAGAAATAAACACTCACATGATGTGGACAAGTAATTTTTGACAAGGGTACCAGGATCACTCAATGGAGAAAGGACAATCTTCAAGAATCAATGTTAGGAAAATTGAATACCCATATTCAAAGAAAATGAACACTTACATAAAAATCAAGATGGGTCAAAGAGCTAGAACTGTAAAACTCTTTGAAGAGTTTCTGGATTTGGCAATGACTTGTAAAGACATCAAAAAGCACAGGCAACAAAAAATAGGTTGGAGTTCATCAAACATGTATCAAACGACACTATCTCAGTGGGAAAGTAACCCAAGGAATGAGAGAAAATAAAGTTTTGATACCAAATATATAAAGAACTAGGACTCAAGAAAACTCAAAGATGTATTGCCAACTCTATTCTCAACATTCCTGAGGACAATTGGTGAAGACATTAGCTAGTTTTGTATGACAAATCTTTTTAATCCTGTCAATTTACCAAATCAGAAAACAAGCATCTGACAAGCACAATTTCTACACCAAGAATAGAAGAAGAGGCCCTCCCCAGTGACACAGTGGTTGAGCGCTGGGTTGCGAAGCTGCCCGCAGCCTCTGCAGCGCTGGTTCCATCCCCCGCTGCTCCCCGGCCACGGGAGGAGGGTCCCACATGGCGCGCAGACCTCTCCTGCCGCCCGCTGCTCCCCTCAGCAGTGTACTTCGGTCTTTCTGCCTGCTCTGCTCCCTGCTCTGGCTCTGGTGAATTCTCTCACCCTCCCGCGCTTCTGACTATACCCAGTGCTTGTATAAATAATAAATCTTAAAAAAGGAATAGAAGACAAGGGCCTCCACTGGTGGTGCAGCGGTTGAGCGCTGGGCTGCGAAGATGCCCGCAGCCTCTGCAGCGACAGTTCGATCGATCCCCGGCCGCTGGCAAGGGTCCCACATGGCGCGACAGACCTCTCCTGCCGTGCCAACTGCTCCCTTCAGCAGTGTATCGTCAGTCTGCCTGTTCTGTTCCCCGCTCTAGCTCTGGTGAATTCTCTCACCCTCCCGCGCTTCTGACTGTACCCAGTGCTTGCAGAAATAATCTTAAAAAAAAGAAGACAGGGCAGCACTCAGTCTGCCCAACTGTGACTATGCAGGTGCCTCTTTTCACCAACTCTCCCTCTGCAGGGCAGCAGCCTTCCTGCCTGCAACCATGCAGGCCTTTTGTAGCAAACCTGTCCCTTCTGGGGCTGCTCTTCATGCCCGCTTATGTCTATGGCAAGCGTCTTTAACTGTTTTATCCCTTCCCTAATAAACCTGCCCTTTAAAAATATATATAAAAAAAAAAAAAAAGGCGGCTGGGGGGCTCCCTCGTGGTGCAAGGGGTTAATTAAACACAGCACTGTGAAGCTATCCGCAGCCTCTGCAGCATGAGTTCGATTCCCCAGCCAACCAGGGAGCTACCCACATGGCGCACCAGACCTCTCCTGCCTTGCCCACTGCTCCCCTCAGCAGTGTATTTCACTAGATCCTCCTGTTCTGCTCCCCACCCTCTCTGGTGAGTCCTCTCACCCCCAGCACCTCTGGCCTGTACCCCAGTTCTTGTATGCACAAATAAATCTTAAAAAAAAAAATGCCGAGTGAAACAAATACCTACCTCGTAATTCCGCTTATATTAAACTTTAGAATAGGCCAAACTAATCTTCAGTGAAAACAAAATCCTAAGAGGGAGAGAGGATATAGGAATTGACAGGGTTAAGAAATTTTCTGAGTATGATGGAAATGTTCCATAGCTTGCTGAAGATTTGGATTATATGGCTGTACATCAAAACTAATTCAGGGTCCTCCCTGATGGAGCAGGGGTTAAAGTCTCAGCACTGTCAAGCTCCCTGATGGTGCAGGGGTTGAAAACTCAGCACTATCAAATTCCCTGATGACGTAGGGGTTAAAGTCAATGCTATCAAGCTATTGCTAGCCACAGCAGCATGAGTTCGATCCCCGGCCAGGGAGCTAATCCACATGGCACAGAGACATCTTTCTTGCCTGCTGCTCTCCTCGGCAGTGTGTTTCAGTAGATGCACCTGTTCTGCTCCCCACTCTGTCCCTGGTGAACCCTCTCATCCCCCACACCTCTGGCCTGCACCCCAGTTCTACAAAACAAATATTTAAAAAAAAAAAAAAAAAAAAGATGCTGTCTTAGATTTGCTTTAATAATCAGGAGGTTAACCAGATGGGGAATATAGAAAAAAAGAGAAAGGGCATGAAAACAATTCACAGAAAAGGAAATTCAAATGCCCTTTAACATGAAAATAACACTACCTTGTAAGAGAATACTATAGGTTGCTTTTTTTTCACCTGTCAGATCAGCAAAGACTAAATTGCTAATGCACTGTTAGTGAGGTTATGGGTACTAGGCACTTGAATTTCTAAAGTGCAAACTAAGAAAAAACAAATTTTAGATATAAATTACAAGTGGACATATTCTAATTACTTACCTTTACAGAAAACTTACGTATGTACAAATGAAAAATGTATACAAGGTAATCCATTTAAGCATTAATGGCAAACGCCTGAGAACAATTTACATGTTCATTACTAAGGGACAGATTAAATTATGTGCAACATAGTGTAAAATTGTTTGAGTAAGAATTTGCATACTGATATAAGCTCTTTAGGATGTAGTAAAAGAAAAACATACAGAATACTATGTATGGTATGCTAGAATTTATATTTTAAAATGAAATATATAGTAATATTTGCACATGTGTATCAATAAATGTTTACATCAGAAACTGAAAACAGTTGCCTGAGAAAGGGAAATAAGCAATAGAAGTATAGAATGGGAGACTGTTCACTGTATATGCCTTCATACTGCTTGAATTTTATCTCTTTCAAAAAATAAAATACAATTTAAAAGTTACCCCATTTTTAAAATAAGTCTTATGAACCATACCAAACCTTTCTGAATTCACTAAGAAAGCCAACCCAATTTAAAAAAAAAAAAAAAAATACAACAGGTGAAAGATCTGAAAAAGATACCCTGCCAAAGACAATATGCAACTGCAAATAAATACCTGGAAGGACGTTTCAGCATCTTGTGTCATTATGGGACTGCAAATTAAAACAAGATGCCACTACACATCTATTCAACTTGTTAAATTCAAAACATAACACAAAATGCTGGCAGGGAACTCATTCACTGCTGGCAGAAATGCGAAATGGTACAGCCACCTTAGAAGACTGTCTGGCAGTTTCTTACCAAATTAAATATAGTCATACCATATGATCTAGCAATCACGCTCCTTGGTATTTTCCCAAGAGTTTAAATCTTACGTACACAGCAAACCTACACAAGAATGGTTTATAGCAGCTTTATTCCCTCTACAAACTTCAGAGATTTTCTGATCTGCTAAATTCAGAAGAAAAATAATTCATTCTTACTATATTAGTGCAATTTTTTTTTCCAAAGCCTCTGAAATTTAGCCTGCATCAACTTTACTGCTGAGAAACCCCATTCTACTCTATAACACAGGTTCTTCCAGTTGAATGTGAATCCTTCCAAATAATTTAGGGGGGGAAATCTTAAAACAATGGAATGTTTTAAAGCATTAGATGAATAGAGTATAATATACAACCTGATAATTCTAATTGTTAACATTGCCTTATGATGTTTGAAAGTTGCTAAGAGTAGATCCAAAGAGTTCTCATCACAGGGAAAAAACATCTTTTTTTGTACCTACAATATGATGGATGTCAAATAAATTCATCATGGTAATCATTTTACAACATATAGATCAAAACATGCTGTATACTTTAAACTTACACAGTACTGTACATCTATTACATAAAAAACTAGAGAAAAAATGAATAGGACATAACAGAAAAAATAAGTCTCCAAATGAGAATTTGCCAAGGACTATTTAGGGAAGAGGATGTCAACAGGGCATAGTGACTAATAAGCTGCGTCAACAAGCCCTCAAACATCACCTGCATGGGAGCGGTTTTCTCCTGCTTCTTGCTTAATCACAACGCAGTAGTAGTGAGGAAGAATTAGACCCTTATGCTCTCTAGCAAACTCAGTCTTCTTCCCACCTGGCAAGAGCCTCACTCAAGGCATAGAGAGAGACACTAGTTCTGCTTCATTCTCTAATTCAGTGTGTAGCTCAGATCACAATTTCAGCAATTTTCAGAAATTTCAGCAATTTCCTCCTTGGCACATGTGCTATTTATCAGAGTTCTTCCTTGCAATTCCTTGAAAAATAGTTGGACAAAGCAGGATTTGGGTAAGCTAGCCGTAGACTCCAATTATGCTATTTTTGATAGTTTTACCATAAAGATTACAAAGACAAAAAAAGGACCTAAAAACATATAACAAAATTCACTGTTAATTACTTGTTTCAATAGCAAATGATACACAATCCAATTCTGTCAAACTTTAAGAGAAATGTGTCTTTGAATTGATAAAAAGACTTTTCTAGTATGTGCTTTCCTTCCTCTTCCAGCAACAGCACTGCCTTGTCAACAATCATTTGCTTACTAGCTTAAATTATGAGCAACATACTAAAGGGAAGAAAGTATATGAATTCCTAGGATCCACGAATAGCCTCCTTTTTACTGAGAACTCAGCCACTAACGTAGCAAGAAGATACACCCTTCAAGTTTACCCATTGCAGAACATTTTAATGCTCTTTCTTTTCCCAGAGATGTGCAAATGAAGACCATTAGCGTAAAACAAAGTAATTGCAAATGAATTAACTATTTACCAATCCCAATCTCAATTGACCCTATAAATTTTTTCCATAGCAAAATGAAAACCTACTGAGAAAAATAACATTCTAGTAGATTATACAGCCAGACACCAGTTCTCATAATTCAATACACTCAATCATTTATGAAAACATTTGCACCTTAGCAATAATACTGAAGATTAAGTTGGTTATGTTCTCACAGGATGATAAAAACACAACTGAAAATTAATCATTTCTTCTTATAATATAGGATTTGATATAATAAAAATATATTCAGTTGATTCACACATTCCAAAATAAATACTCTTAGGTAATCTTCAGCCTGAAACAAGCCTTCATTTATTGACTACTTACAGTACAGTGATTTCATATCTTAGCTGGTCATCAAAGATGGATATGTATTCAGTGAGAAAAGATAATCTCTCTTCTATATATCACCTTAGAAATATGGGTTAATTCAATTTAAGAACTAGAATTGCATCTCCTGGTAACTACATGGCAGTCGTCACCCTGAGAACAGGAACAAGGCAAAGAAAGTATACAGGACTTGGATTCTCCTACACAGGTGCACATAAAGTTAGTTTATTAACGACTACATTTTTAAGCCAGCCATTTTGATCCAATATTTAAATAACAAGCTGTTTAATATTAAAGCAGAAGTTACTGTCACAATGTGACATTAGTACAGCTTTTTCCATAAACCCTTCACACAATTATACATTAAATGCTATTTTTATTTAAGCAAGGCACCCCTACTTGTTCTAAAATACGGGATGTGCTACCCACCCCACTGAAAAAGCAAATGAGGAGACAGATTTTTTTCCTATCTAGAGCTGGTTTAAAATCAAGTGAAGCCATTAATGTCCTTCCCAGACAGGACTGTTTTGACATATCACTTCACAGTCTTGAAACTAACAAAACACCCTTATGGTTTACCCAAAAACAAATTACCAAAAAGGGGAGGGCAGACAACTTTTAAGTTGAAATTAGAATTTCCTCCGTAAGTATACAGGCACGAATGTTAAATACCTTTAACAAAAGTCTTAGAAAGGCAAACATTTTTGAAGACATAAAACTGCCAAACTGTTGCCATTTATACTAACCTGTTGGTATTTTTTCAATCTTTCTTTACCCTTTCTAAATAATCAAATACACCTAAAATTAAAAACTGTTCTGCCAAACCATATTGGTTCAAAGTTCTGAAACCTTTCATTGCTTTGGTGAATATTTGGTTAAAATAAATCAGTACTTTATGCCATTAAGTTTTGCATTAGAGTTCTCAATTCATAAGCAAAAAACAAAACCTCACAAATAAATTTTTAAATGAGAGAAAGATTTTAAGGACAGCACTGAATAAAAATATGTAGTCTTCAATTGGGTAACATCCTTTATGAAAACAAATTTAATCATAAAAAATAAGGACCAGATTTTTTAATCAGATCTGGGATGATTTAAACAAAAATTTAAATTTGTGGCTTATTTCATAATCCCAAACTGAAATATTTCCTTTTTCTTTCTAAACAGTCCACTATGGAATTTTTCTTTGAAGCAATACCCCAAAACCCCAAAATTCTTTCTCTAGCAGTTGCTGCTAAAAATCTGGAACATTATATCCCATGTCCAAGAAAGATGTGCAAATGAAATGCTTCTTGCTTCATCCTAAAAACAAACAAAAAAAATGATGCACATTTACTTTAATGAAAAAGGACTGCTCGCATCATTTAAAATTAGTTTATTAGTTTATCTTTTTGATTTAGAGAAAGTTAATGTGAAGAAAATTACCTGTTAGTGTTTGCAGCACAGTATGAGGATAGTAATTTTCCATCACCCACAGAATACACTGTACATTAGTTATTATAAATTTTTAACATTATAATACTGCAGACTTTATATCCAAAAACAGCTTATGTTAACTATATAGTTCTGGAATGTCCTATTTGCTTTTAAGAAATTATGGTTAAGTGTTTCAAAGAAACATAGCACTACATGTAAAAACAAAAGATAACACATTTTTGGGGGGAAACATTAACACATAACATTTAATCAAGGGAGCAGACATGAAGACATTTAAAAGATTTGTTACAGGTTAAGTTTACATATACGTCCTAGGACAACCATTTTCATAATACCATTTTGGAATGAGAAAGAATAAGACATTAAATGTATGTATTAATGATATATTTAATTTCAAACATCATTTTATAAATACTTTCAAACTGGAGAAATGTTTAGATTTTATGGAAAGAAAAGTCAATGTATGGCACATTTTCAGTGTATTATGATTACAGCTACCAAAGGTGAAAAAATTGTTTGTAGGCACAGAGCGTGATAAATGTTGCCAATAGTGCAAAAAGATTTTTCATGGTGAAAATACCCAAAACCATGATATAATCATAATGAATTCTATTTCCAGTCATTATATTGATATTTCTATTATCATAATTACTTTTATCTTTATTAAAGAGACTAGTTCCTACCACATCAAAATTAGTGAATTAGTGATTTATCAAATGAAAATAATTTTCACATTCTATGTCTTCAAGTTACCTTATTATCTGGAGTCCCTGGAAGTCTTATTTTCCTTTTGGACATGAATTCAGGAACAATTCAATATACCTATGGTCTAAGAATGAGAGATTCATTTTAAAAAATTGAAATAGCAGACAAAATGTAGCTGTTTTTCTTGTATTTCAACACAGCAATTCAAACCCTTTGCCCATTCCTTTCCCTAATTAAAAACAAAAAAATAATCTAACTTTGCATAAAAATATGCATAATAGACGAATAAATACTTTTTCATCATAATGTAGTGTTCTGTACACTTTACATTTAATCTAGTAGTGTTAACAGAGAACAATTCTCCCAAGTAAAATTTCTAGGCAAATTTCAAAACAGAAGCAGGTATTTGTAAGCAAAGAATACACATGAAAACAACCATGAAAACTATAGATAACACTTACGAACATGGGATCGATCCTTGAGCATAGCTGCAACAGCATCCTCATGGGTATCGAAGTGCACATCAGCTTCTCCAGTGGCCTTCCCACTGGAGCTGTATTCCATGGTGATTCTAACAGGCTTCAGTGGAGCAAAAAACTAAACAAAGGAAATCAAAAGGAACATAATGGTATTATTATCAATTTCTAAAAGTCTGGCGGCTCGACATTTTACTTTCAGACATTGATACATACACCAGATAGAAGTGTTTTTAGGAAATCTCTTTAAACAACAAAGTTAGTCACACATCTACCATCTCTTCCAATAGTTTTCTTAGAACTCAAGATTACATTTCAAGTGTTTACTCAGAAAGAACAAAACACTACAAATACAAATGCTACACAAGTAGTTCTCCAACTTTTTATTAAATGAAGACCATTTTTATTATTCCTCCGATACATATTCTTCCCTGTTTCTAAAAATATTCTTTTAGTTATACTTCACTTTCTACTGATTTTTACCATTTTTTAATCAGATATGTACCAGACAATCAGTGCCTCATCCATACTACATAAACAAAGCTCCCATACTGAGTGGCTATCATGCCTAACCAAAGCAACAAATGCAATGTTTTATGAAATTGTACAAACTACATTTGTGTGAAAAGATGATTCCTACTAGGCTTTTTGAAATGAAAACTCAGAAGCCCCAATATTAACTGAACACTCCGAATTTGGACCTATCGTAATGAAATCAATAAGGCCTCTGTTTTTATTTTTCATTTTATATAGTATTATAAAATAAAAAATATTTTTAAAGCACATAACTGCCTTGTAACAAATCTTCTTGAGTCTACTGCCTAAACTCAGAAATCAAAGGGTTAAACAAATTTGAAGAAAAATCAAACTTTACTACCTTGAATACTAAGCCTACATAGCATGTTTTTCATCTATGAAATCCTTTTACCCTTTCCTTATTGGAGCTTAAAATGTAGTAAGACCATTCTTCTCAATGAAATAAATGAAACAGGCTTCCACAAACATGGAAGTACCATCTTAGTATCTGTGTCCAAAGATACCCCAGAAATGCTGTTTTCTACCTTCCCCAAATGAATAAAAGTTCAGTGTTAAACTTTTGCTCAAACTTATTAAAACGGAGTATCTTACTGTCACACACATTTATAATATCTTGAGCATTGGCTTGGAAAGGCAATCCTCTCATGTGAACAAAATGTAGTGAAGATGCAGTTCCAAAATCAACTGTCTCTGGAAGCTTTTCTGATACCTCCTTAGGCAATTCTGGGAGATGGAATAAAAAGCACTGTCAAGAACAGAAAGCTTCAAGAGTTATTAACATTATAAGGTATGACATTTATGCCAAAATTCTCAATTCCACTTGAACCATTAAGCAAGGACTTTAATATTAAAAGCCAAAATGGGGGCCTCCCTGGCGGTGTGCAAGGGATTAAGCATCAGCACAATGAAGCAATCCGCAGCTACTGCAGCAAGCATTTGATCCCCAACCAGGGAGCTGACCCACAAGGCGTAGCAGAGCTCTCCTGTATCACCTGCTGCTCCCCTCAACAGTGTATTTCATCAGTCTGCCTGTTCTGTTCCCCACTCTATCTCTAGTGAATCCTCTCACCCTGCCCCCCTGCACCTCTGGCCTACACCCAGGTTCTTGTATGCATACATAAATAAAATAAATCTTAAAAAATAAAAGCCAAAATTATATGAAAATTTCTCCTACTTAACAAATATCATCACCTGAACACCCATAAGCATTTAGTGCCTCAAACCATTACGGATTAAGAACCACTGTGGATTAAGAAATGATTACAAATGAAATCATAAAAGGTGAAAGGAACTTTCCGTGTTGTAGGCACTAACCAAAAAAAATTCCCAGAATAAATCCTAGGACATGTTAAAAAGGATTTATCAAACTTCAAATTAGATTCAAAGAATCAAAGGAATAATTGAATATATAACAAAACTCCTTACTTTAGCAAACATTTGTGCTCTCTACCCACATCTTTCCTAACTAGTTTAAATGTTGATTTTTTTTTTTTTTTAGATTTTATTTATATGCATACAAGAGCTGGGGTGTAAGCCAGAGGTGTAGGAAGTGAGGATTCACCACAGAGTGGAAAGCAGAACAGGCAGATCAACTGAAATACACTGCTGAGGGGAGCAGTAGGTGAGACAGGAGAGGTCTGCTGCACCATATGGGTTAGCTCCCTGGCAGGGGATAGAACTCATGATGCAGTGGCTCCAATACCTTCCCAGTGCTAAGACTTAACCCCTTGCACCATCAGGGAGGCCGTAAATGTTGGTATTTTACTTCCTTTCATATTTGTATCACCCAGCTTTGGATTAAAAAACCTATAAAAATGTTTAAATTTCAAAAACCCCATGAGGGGGCCTCCCTGGTGGTACAGGGGTTAAAATATCAGCACTATCAAGCTATCATTAGCCAGTGACCAGGGGAGCTAACCCACATAGCATAGCAGCCCTCTCCTGTCTTTCCTGCTGCTCCCCACAGCAGTGTATTTCAGTTGGTCTGCCTGTTGTGCTCCCCACTCTGTCTCTGGTGAATCTTCTCACCTTCTCCCCCTTGCACCTCTGGCCTACACCCCAGTTCTTACATGCATAAATAAATAAAACCTAGGGGAAAAAAACCAATAAACCCAGTGAAATAATTAAGCCCTTCTGCATATATTCAAAGTAATACTACAAAGAAACTAAAACTTTAACTTAATTTCCTTATCCTAAAATCTTATTATTTCATAAAAGATGATCATAAGAAATAATCTAGTACAAGTCAAAATATACTAGATAAACTCAGTCAGTCTCAATAAGTGGCAGGTCCTTACCTATTTCCTTTTCACTTTCAAAAGCTGTTGTGGGCCTAATATCTTCATTTACTTCATGTTCTTCAAATAGCATTTCTGGTTCAGTTATATATTTAGCAGTAGGAGAAGATAACATTTTCTTTCCTTTATGAGAACCAACATGTGTTCGAACTTCATTTCTTCTGCTTGGAAATATCTCTATGTATCTATGTCAAAGCAAAAATAAACAGGCATAATGGTATACAGTATTTTTACATTGAAGTCATTTTTAAAAGTGGAGATAAAGTATTTCCAAAAGTTTATAAACACAGTTATCCACACATAACAGGTTCAGGGATGCAGCCCATGAAAAAGTACACTCAACACAATAGTCACTGATTTACTTTGCCTCCCACCCTAAGACAACAGTTTTCTTCATATATAATTTAACAATACAAGGGGCTTCCCTGGCGAGGTAGGAGTTAAAGACAGTACTATCAAGCTATTGCCAGCCACTGAAGAACAAGTTTGATCCCCAGCCAGGGAGTAACCCACATGGCAAACCAGACCTCTCCTACCTCGCCTGCTGCTCCTCTCAGCAGTGTGTTTCAGCAGATCTGCCTGTTCCGCTCCCCACTCTCTCTGGTGAACCCCCTCACTCCCCGCACCTCTGGTTTACACCCCAGTTCTTGCATGCATAAATAAATAAATCTTTGAAAAAAATGAACAATACTTTCTACCCTGTTTTGTTTCATGAAACTACTATATTATGAATTAGCTGGTGTACTGTGTTTTGGTTAACAATTTCTTGAAGTCTTATAATTCAATTCTGTGAGAATTAATCACAGATGTACAAGATATTAAAAGCCAACAAATGTATGAAGAGCTAACTTGCTGTAGAACGTCACAAAGAATCTAATGAGAATTCATGAACTAAATAAGAATTCTGACTTGGATTTACAGTGGCCACAGGACTAAATTAAACCCAAGATTTTATAACCAATTTTCTTTCCTCAACATTGCTTCCCCAAACTAGGCTATTAAAACTTGAATTGTAAAAATCATTTGCATTTACAGGATTATAAAGATGAGAAGGACACCACTTCTTAATTTATTGAAGATATTCATTCACTGCCTTAATGCTCACACATAAAAATCAATGTGTTCCAAAAGATAATACAAGAAGATTAGTGCTAAAAGAAAACAGGAGAGGCAGAAAGTATGTTTTGTGCATACTTTTCTCATTAAAAAAAAAAAATAAAGACCTTTGGACCAATTCTGAAATACAATGGCTTTGGGTGGATTTTTGTTTTGCATTCTTATGTGGTGTGATATGCTGTATACAGCACTGCCTATTTTAAAATGTTAATCAATTCAAGAATTTAGCTCTAACTTCCAGCTTTTAGAAAATAATAGAGAATAAAAAGGAACAAATGACACCATAAGATAAATATAGAGCATAAAACACTGTACAGCACAACTGACCTGATTTCTTCAAATGACGATTGCATTTAAAAAGGAGAAAATAAAAAAATAAAGGAGGGGGGCTCCCTGGTGGTGCAAGGGGTTAAGCACTGCACTACCAAGCAATCCGCAGCCTCCACAGCACGAGTTCAATCCTCGGCCGGCCAGGGAGCAACCCACATGGCGAAGCAGACCTCTCCTGTCTCACCCGCTGTTCCCCTCAGCAGTTTATTTCAGTCAGTCTGCCTGTTCTGTTCCCCACTCTGTTTCTGGTGAATCCTCTCACCCCCTGCATCTCTGGCCTGTACCCCAGCTCTTGTATGCATATAAATAAATCTTTAAAAAAAAATAAAATAAAATAAAATAAAGGAGATGGGGATTTGCTCTAGTTTAACAGAATTGGAAATAACAATCAAATATCGTGTGGGTGAGCCCTGTCTGTATTGTGGTTCAAACAAACCAACTGTACAAATACAGTTTTGGTTTAACTGTGAAAATGTGATTATAAACTATTAGATTAATAAATTACTGCCAATTTTGCTTGATGTAGTAATACCAAAATCATGTAAGAAAAATGTCCTTTTTAAACATGTACCAAAAAATTACATTCACAAAAATAACTTAGTAATTTGTTAGTGTGAGTGATGGGTACTTGACAGCTCTCATACTATTCTCTCTACTTTTCTGTGCTTAGGTAATTTTACATTCATAACCGTGTTCACCAAAATACGCAATATTGATATTTTTGCATCATTAGTGTGTACTTCACTCACCGGTTACCAATTTCTTCCCTGTGTTTCAATAGGGCTTGATTGGCCATTTCTGGTTCTTCAAACTGCACATACGCTTCTCCTGTTTTTCTTCTCCCTCTATAATCCATAACAAAAGTAATATCTACTATATTCAGTCCTGGGACAGCAAAAAATAATCAACAAATTAATGATGCTAGCAGGAATTATTTATCCTCAAAATTAACACACACACATACTGGTAAGTCTTCTATTTTATTAATAAAAATTTGGAGCTGTTTTGCCAATCCCAAAGTAGTCAAAAGCTACTAACACCCAGATATCTATATTTCAAGAAAATATAATCTAAAGCACAATTCTCTCTTTTTTGGTCATCAATTACATAGTAAGAGACAACACAGACTTAAGCTAACATCAATACTAATGGTGCACATTTTACTGCTAGGAATTAGATGATAATGCTTTTAAATCATATAAACAGCTTTTGGCTTAGACAATAAATATGATCACTCTTATGACAGAATATTTTCTTCTTCAAATGTAAAATAATCCCACAGGATGGGGCCTCCCTGGTGGTACAATGGGTTAAGTGTCAGCACTATGAAGCTGTCCACAGCTACTGCAGCACGAGTTCGATCCCCAGCTAGGGAGGTGACCCACATGGCGTAACAGACCTCTCCTGACTCACCCCCTGCTCTCCTCAACATTTATTTCAGTCTACCTGTTCTGTCTCTGGTGAATCCTCTCACTCCCAGCACCTCTGCCGACACCCTAGCTCTTGTATGCATAAATAAATAAATCTTTAAAAAAATAAAATAATCCCACAGGAAATCATTTTGAAATCTGACCCTTAAAGATAAGCCTAAGTCAAAACACTTTACATAAACTATAAACATCAGAAATCCAAGTGAAGAGTTCTTCCCTTAAGGAACTTAATAAAACTGCATACTATTACCTAGGAAAACAGTCATCTTATAAGGAGACAATGGAGTTACAAAAAAAGAGGCTCCAAACATAATATAACTGAATAGCACCTGCAAAGAAGTCTACGATGTCTTTCTCATTGCAACTATAAGGAAGTCCTCGCAAACGAACCACGCCATCATTCACCACAGGTGAAGATTTGACCTGCAGGCTCTTCATTAAGGCATCTACATCTTCATTGTTTATCTCATATACTATAAAGAAAAGTACAAAAGATATGTGGCATATACATAACAAAGGGGCTTTTATGAAAAATGAAACACATTACCACTTGGTGGTACCCAAGAATTTAAACTATTATTTTACATACTATTAACTTTATGTACTACTATGGAAAAAAATAACATGACATTTACTGGATATTTATTCTGTGCCTGTTATATCTCATTTAAAAACTGTAACTTGTGAGATTAAACTTGGTCAGCATACTCATTTGTAGGTAAGAAACTAAGATTATCTCTGCACTTCATTTTCACACCCAGTAAAAGGGTATATTCATAATACTTAACCACTTCACCAATAGGATCAAATAAAACAATGTTCACAAAGTATAAAGCTAATGTAATGATCCAAAAAAACTAGAGTATGACTTCATGTACCTTCCACATACCGCTGCCCCATGTACATCCGATGCTTTTCTAAGGCCTTTTGTACATCCTGGTCTGACTCCATTTCAATTAAGGCATCACCCCTTCGTTTCCCATCTCTATTTAAAAGGAAGTGTATTCCATTCTCACCATTGCGGATTCTGCAGTCTAAAAGTAAGTAAAATTAGTTAAAATCAGAAATCAAACTTTCAGCTCAATTATTCAAGTCATTAGAATGCAACCTTCCAACAAAACAAAGCAAGAACCAAAATGCCTGTCATGTTCCTTATGAAAAAAGCCCATCACCAAAGCTACCCAAATGTTAATATGTGTAGGTTATAGGTCCCAAGTGAAAAAGATAAATCACAGCAACTGTTAAGTCAACTGAGAAATTAAAATGATTAGGTTTGGGACTCCCTGATGGCGCAAGGGGTTAAGCACCCCACTATGAAGCAATCCCCAGCCTCTGCAGCAAGAGTTCAATCCCCTGGCCGGCCAGGGGAACAACCCATATGGCACAGCAGACCTCTTCTGTCTTGGCCACTGCTCCCCTCAGCAGTGTATTACAGTCCATCTGCCTGTTCTGCTCCCCACTCTGTCTCTGGTGAATCCTCTCACCCTCCACACATCTGGCCTGTATCCCGGTTCTGGTATGTATAAATAAATAAATCAGCAGTGTATTACAGTCCATCTGCCTGTTCTGCTCCCCACTCTGTCTCTGGTGAATCCTCTCACCCTCCACACATCTGGCCTGTATCCCGGTTCTGGTATATATAAATAAATAAATCTTTTTAAAAAAAGAGAGCGATCTAGCACTATAAAAAAAATGATTAGGTTTATGCTGTCCTCCTTTTTTACAATTATAACCACAAGGACTCTAAAATCTCTCCTACAAGAATAATTTTATACCATAATTTAACATCGTCCCCTTTTCATTACCAAAGAAAGACATCCCTATATGGTATACGTCTTATAATGGAAGTAAGGTGACGTAAGTGGTTTTATAAAATAGATGACCCACAGAATGCAATGCACGTTAAGGTACTTGAAATACTGTTACACTGGTTCACAACATTTAAGGTGGTGTATTCTAAAAGTCTCATAGAAAAATAAAAATCATGGTCAGAAACTGAAAAACTAACCACAGATTCTCAAACTTCACAAACCATTATTGAGAGATTTTGATCACTTGTTATGAAGCGATCTTGTATTCCAAATGTTTACATTATATAAAGAGCTATTCAATCTCCTATTTCTATTAAGATACTTGGCTTTTTCATGAATACCATTAAAACTTCAACAAAAACCAGTTCTAACATTAAATACTTTTGTTACATTCAACGTCTTTAAACCTGATATACATATCATGAACGGTACACATGGTGTCACATGGTGTAGTAAATCAGAATGAGACAATTTCTAGTCATCAGACAGAATGTCTATAGCAAGCCTAACTTGAAATTTGTGTGATTACCTTCTACTCTGACAAAAGTACACATTTAAAATACACAATAGGGCCTCCCTGGTGGTGCAAGGGGTTAGGCATCAGCTATAGATACGGAGCGGTCTGCAACTACTGTAGCAAGGGTTCAATCACTGGACAAGGAGGTGACCCACGTGGTGCAGCAGAGCTCTCCTGCCTTGCCCTCTGCTCCCCTCAGCAGTGTATTTCAGTGGATCTACCTGTTCTGCTCCCTACTGTCTCTAGTGAATCCTCTCACCCCCCTGCGCGCCTCCAGCCTGCACCCCAACTCTTATATGGATGAGTGGATAAATCTTTAAAAAATAATAAAATACACTATAAAAAATACCTGAGAAAAAGTTGAGCACATCTTCTACAGTGCAGGACCACGGTAATCCTTGAGCTCGAATGAGATATACATCATCCACTTCTCCTAGCTTAGCTGGAGTCACTTCATATTCAGGGAGAGGTGGAAGGTCTTCCAGGTAGGTAGTTTTAGACTCCTTCCAAGAAAAAAGAAATGTAAAAATATTTCTCTGTTAAACTTAGAAATATTTATTGCTACAAATTAAAGCTCTAGTTGTTATTTTCAGAGGACAGTTTCAGAGGCAAGAAGTTCTGGCTTAAAACTGTACAGTTTAGGGACTTCCCTGGTGGCGCAAGGGTTAAGACGCAGCACTATTAATCTGTCCGAAGTCACTGCAGCATGAGTTGGATCGCCAACCTGGGGGTTGACCCACATGGCACAGCAGACCTCTCCTATTTTGCCCGCTGCTCCCCTCTGCAGTGTATTTCAGTCAGTGTGCCTGTTCTATTCCCCACTCTAGTGAATCCTCTCATCCCCCCACACACACCTCTGACCCGGGTCCCAGTTCTTATATGCATAAATAAATCTTTAAAAAAAAAAACTGTACAGTTTAAGCAATAAGCAAGTATATCCTAATGAGTTCATGGCCATACAAATTTTTTCAGGGCTTGTTTTTATTTATTTATTAGATTTTATTTATTAATTTATACAAGCACTGGGTACAGTCAGAAGTGCGGGGGGTGAGAGAATTCACCAGAGCCAGAGCGGGGAGCAGAACAGGCAGAAGGACTGAAATACACTGCTGAGGAGAGCAGTGGGCGAGGCAGGAGAGGTCTGCACACCATGTGGGACCCTCGCTGGTGGCCGGGGATCGAACTGGTGCTGCAGAGGCTGCGGGCAGCTTCACAGCCCAGCGCTCAACCACTGCACCACCGCACCACCAGGGGAGGCCCCAGGGCTTGTTTTTAAATTCATCAGTAGCAAATCACACCTAGTTATAGTGTTTTAGTTAAGACAGGGCAAGAGGAATCCCTGCAATTGCATAAATATGTGAGTACCTCCTAATCACAGTGTGCCATTTTAGGTCCTCATCTCCAAAAGCTTACCATCCAAAAAGAGAAGCACACAGAAAAATACTTTCAGTGTTATAATTAAGATACTTTAAAATTCAAAACACAGCATTAACAGAAAAGGAATCCTTTCTGATATGAGATAGGCCTTGAAAGTGAATTCTGACAGCAGTAATGGACAGTGTTCAGTTTGAGAGGTGAGGGAAATAAGCAGTAAAAAAAAGCCACTTGCGGGCCTCCCTGGTGGCGCAGCGGTTGAGCGCTGGGCTGCGAAGCTGCCTGCAGCCTCTGCAGCGCGATCCCTGGCGGCCTGCGAGGGTCCCACAGGGTGCAAAGACCTCTCCTGCCGCACCCGCTAGCTATTCCCCTCAGCAGTGTACTTAGGTCCTTCTGCCTGTTCTGCTCCCCGCTCTGGCTCTGGTGAATTCTCTCACCCTCCTGCACTTCTGACTGTACCCAGTGCTTGTATGCCACTTGCAAAACAGCAATAATCCTATTTAACGAAACTGCATCATACAACTAGGAGAAAAAAAAAAAAAAAAGAAGAAGAAAAGGGCAAAAGGGACTCGGTACCATACAGCAGATAACCTGGAGTGGTAAGGTCAATACAGGCAAAGGGAGTTCTTTAATAAAACATTTAAGAGTAAGTAAATCAAGTCAGCAGGAAGCTTGGAAAGATGAGTCAACCTGTCTGTCAACTGTATAGGTGGTGGATCATATAATAGGCATTAATATGAGGTAACAGGAGCCTGAGATATACCTATTTTAGGGCCTCCCTGGTGGCGCAAGGGGTTAAGACACAACCTATGAAGCTGTCCGCAGCCAGTGCAGCACGAGTTCGATCCCCAGCCAGCCAGGGAGCTACCCACATGGTGCAGCAGACCTCTCCTGTCTCACCACTGCTTCCCTCAGCAGTGTATTTCAGTCAATCTGCCTGTTCTGCTCCCCACTCTCTCTGGTGAATTCTCTCACTCTCCCGCACATCTGGCCTACACCCCGTTTCTTGTATAAATAAATAAATAAATCTTTTTTTTTTTTTTAAGAAAAACCTCTATTTTATAAGACAAAGAAAAAACTGGAACTTACTAAGAGTCCAGCAAACCATAACCAGGAGAGACAAATAGGTGTTTGAAGAACTGCACTCTATGTTAAGAACAGCGATTCTTCTGTACCATCCCATTGTTTACATGACTTTTGTCTAATTTTAAAGAGTCAATGGTAAAAGTAAACCTCTAGCTGGGGTCTAATACATATTTAATTAATAAGAATGCAACAAGCACTGCATTATCAACATGGGGAGACAACTTAGGCTTTAACTCAAGCCTTCTAATGGGCTAAGGACAAAGACACTCCTTTCCTTGTGTTCCCAAACGCCATGAAAACTTACACAAAATTTTAAGAAATCAATGATAAATGTAAGAACAGTGTCTAACACTAGTAGAGACTCAACGGAAATCATTATAATCAATTTCAAAGAAAAAAAATCAGCCAAAGAAAATAGTCTGTTCACAAAGGCTTATTAGAGACAGTTTATGTTTGTTTTTTTTTTTAAATAAAACTAACATTCCCCATTTTCCCAAAATTCCACAAGCATCACTGATTTTATAGAAAAAGACAGCAGAAAGTAATGGGCCTGGATCTAAATCAATTAGCTCAGACACTGACGAATCTAAGTAACGCTGATGAGCCTCCCAGTTTCCACGAATTCAAGGAGAAGCACAAACTGAATTCGGATAAATATGACCCCAGGCATCAAGGACTCGGCAGTCAGAAAGTACACTGACACTTCCCAGATGCCGCGTAACAAGCTGAAATGAAAGCTTCCTACAGAAACAAAATATTTGCAATGAGTCCTTAAAGCATACGTTGGCTGTTTTTCCAAAAGGAGGAAAACACTGTAGATTCTCTCCGGGGTGCCCAAATTGTGGCCTCAGGTCTAAACACACCATTCCCTTCCCCCCTGTCCCCCAATATTCAGTCTCCAAACTGTCCTCCCCGTCAGCGGCCACCCATGGCCCTGAAGGACCTTCTGTCAAAGCCAAGTGGAGGTGCAAAGGTGACCTTCAGTGAGCCGGGGCCGGCCGCCTTCCCCGGGCACCACAGACGGGGCGGGGGCGGGCGCGCCTCACCGCCCCCCGCGCCAGGCCGCGCCACCGGCCGCGCGAACCCTCTCAGCAGCCGGCCGCGCGGCGCCCCCGGGGCCGCCCAGGCCTCGGGCTCCGACTGCAATGAAACTCCCCCCCATCCGCCGGGTCCGGCCTCCCAACTTCACAACCAGCAGGCGGAAAGCGACAGAGACGCGGGGTGGGGGCGTCCACACCCTCTCAGAACCTACCATGGGCCGGCGGGAAACAAGGCCTCACATTCACCCCCAGCCACACTTACACTGCCCAACCGACCCGACACTCGCGGGGAGAACAAAACAAGGAGAAAACCCGAGGCCTGAGAGCGCGTCCCTTGTTCCGGGGCCCAATAGGAGCACTGGACGGGCGAGGGGAGGGGGTGTGCGGCGCTGCCGCGGGTCCCCGAGCGCGCGCGCGAGAGGAGCACGCGGAGGGGAGCGCGAGCGCGCGCGCGCGCGGCCTCCCGGCGCCCACGTACCTGGCCGTAGCCCCGCGCCGGGCCCGCGGCCGCCGCCAGCGACTGCGGCAGCAGAGGGGGGCGCAGGGCCGGGTAGGAGGCGGCGGCCGCGGCTGCGGCGGAGGCGGCCGTGGGGGGAGGCCCCGCCAGTCTCCCGGCGGGCGCAGGCCCGGCGTGGAGGCCCCGCGTCTGGGAGGCCGCGGCTGCGGCGGCTCCGAGCAGCAGCAGCAAGCGGCGACGTCCCGAGACGCCCGAGGGGAAGGAGCCGGCGGCCGAGTAGAAGGGCAGGCAGGCGGCGCCGGTGCGCCGGCAGCTGCTGCAGTTGCAGCCACAACCCCGGAGCAGCGCCCCGAGCACCCAGCGCGTCCCGGCCATGGACTCCGGAGGCGGCGCGGGGCCTGCTGATGGCTGCGGCTGCAGCGCGAGCGGAGAGGAAGCGGAATCCAGGGCCGGGGAGGGGGCGCCAGGCACATGCGCCGCGGGCACCCGGGGCCGCGGCGAGTCGGAAGGAGGCGGAGGGGAGCGCCCTGCCCCGCCCGGTCCCCGCCCTCGGGGCGGTGCGGCCGGGGGATGGGCGGGGCCGGCGGGCGCGAGAGCGACCGCCTCGCTGGTTTTCATTTTTTTTTAAAGATTTATTCATTTCTGCATACAAGAGCTGGGGTACAGGCCAGAGATGGGGGCCGGGGGGAGGTGAGAGGATTCACCAGAGACAGAGTGGGGAGCAGAACAGGTGGATTGACTGAAATACACTGCTGAGGGGAGCAGTGGGTGAGACAGGAGAGGTCTGCTGCACCATGTGGGTAGCTCCCTGGCCGGCCAGGGATCGAACTTGTGCTGCAGAGGCTGTGGAGTGCTTCATAGTGCGGTGCTTAAGCCTTGTGCCACCAGGGAGGCCCTCCTGGCTGTTTTTTTATTCTGATTGGAAACTGAGGCAGGTGGCAGGTGAGGTGTGCGCCTTCCTGGCCTGGGCAGGAGACTTGAAACACCTGTCTGCTGACGCCTGGCACTGTCCCTGGGACATGCCTGACTTGAGAGCCTAAAGGGCCATTTGTGGTTGTGAAGAGACGTTGGAATATTATCGGAGGAGGTTTGCTAACACTTTCACCCATCCACCTTGAGATCTGTTCCGAAGCCAACTTTCTTTTTTATTTTTTTTAAGATTGATTTATTTGTGCATACAAGAGCTGGGGTACAGGCCAGAGGTGTTGGGGGTGAGAGGATTCACCAGAGATAGAGTAGGGAACAGAACGGAAAGATTGACTGAAATACACTACCGAGGGGAGCATGCTGCACCATGTGGGTAACTCCCTGCCTGGGAGCCCGTGCTGCAGTGGCTGCTGATAGCTTCATAGTGCTGTGTCTTAACCCCTTGCACCACCAGGGAGGCTCAACTTTGTTTTAAAGTGAAATACATAGATGCTTATTATATGTTGACAGTGTTTGTAACAAGAGATTAAAGCCTTTCCTATTAAGATAGCACAGCCACAGGGGCCTCCCCGGTGGCGCAGCGGTTGAGCGTTGGGTTGCGAAGCTGCCCGCGGCCTCTGCGGCACCGGTTCGATCCCCGGCTGCTCCCCGGCCACTGGAGGAGGGTCCCACATGGCGCGCAGACCTCTCCTGCTACCCGCTGCTCCCCCCAGCAGTGTACTTCGGTCCTGCCTGCTCTGCTCCTCCCCCTGGCTCTGGTGAATTCTCTCACCCTCCCGCGCTTCTGACTGTACCCAGTGCTTGTATAAACAAAACAAACAAACAAATAAATAAATAAATAAAAATGCCTCCATTAAAAAAAAAATATATATATATATAAAAAAAATCATAGCACAGCCACAGGTAGACAAGCAGGGGTGTGCACAAGAAATGGTTATACAATATTCATCCTTGGCCAGGACTTTTTGTGTGGAAAATTTCAAAAATAGAAAAGAGTAGTATAAGAAAATTTTAGAATTTAAAAATTATCACATATTTCAGTCTTCATCTATCCCCACACCATATCTCAAACTTTTTTTTCTTTTCTGGACTATTTTAAAGCAAACCACAAGAGTCCTGTCAACACCCTTTGCATATTCATCTTTAACGGATAAGAACTTACCAAAAAAAACCACCGTGACACACAGATTAGTTATTTTGAAGTATTTAAGGTTGTGTTTAAGGTGTGAATTGTTTACTCTGACCGACTTTTAGGGAAAAGGAAGTTCAGTGTTTCCCAGAAAATCCAAAAGAGCAAAAACTAGGAAAATACCTTATTGATTTGACTAGATGGACATGGAGAATTAAAATAAAGAGCACCTACTCATCTGCAATATTTAGTAATCCTAAAGATTTTTTTTTCCTTAAATCTCCCTTTCTAGAAGGAAAATGGTTTAGCCCTTCATAGCAGATTACTACTATAAGTAACCATTTGTGTGGCCTCTTCCCTGGTGGCACAGGGGTTGTGTCTCAGCACTATGAAGCTATTACCAACCACTGCAACAACAGTTCCATTCCCGGCCAGGGAGCTAACCCATATGGCACAGTAGACCTCTCCTATCTCACCCGCTGCTCCCTCTCAGCAGTGAATTTCAGTCATTCTGCCTGTTCTGCTCCCCAGTCTGTCTTTGGTGAATCCTTTCACCCCATCCCACTCTGCCCTACACCCCAGCTCTTGTATGCATAAATAAATAAAATAAATCTTTAAAAAAAAAAAAAAACATTTGTAGCATGTTGGGAATTCTGGCAATCTTTACTGTTGCATTCATTTTCTTAATAGCAGAAGCCATAGCCCATACTGTGTAAATCTGCATATATTAGAATGAAATTTTACAGGTTATAATCAGGAGTGACACCTCACCATTAAAATAGAAAGCTTTCACTTTTACTTAGTGGAAGTTGGGAGAATATAATCAAGAAAAGAAACTACTTTTGAACAATTATTCATTCACCTAGAAAACATTAAGTGCTTTTTGTGTTCCAGGCACTGTATGATGTATGCCCTGTGCATACCTTATAATAATAAGCTTACAGACTAAATGTCAAAGTGTGATTTTTTTTTTAGATTTATTTATTTATACAAGAACTGTGGTACAGGCCAAAGGCATGGGAGGGTGAGAGGATTCACCAGAGACAGAATGGGGAGCAGAACAGGCAAATGGACCAAAGACACTGCTGAGGGGACCAGTGGGCAAAAAAGGAGAGGTCTGCAGTGCTAAATGGGTATCTCCCTGGCTGGCCAGGAATCGAACCCACGCTGCAGAGGCTGCTAACAGTTTCACAGCACCGCACTCAACCCACTGAGCCACCGGGGAGGCCCCAAAGTGTTTTGTGTGTGTGTATACACATTTATGTGTGACTAGGTTTTATTTTTTTTTTTTATAAATTATTTTTTTTTTTTAGAATTTTCTTTTTTTTTTAAGATTTATTTATTTATTTATACAAGCATTGGTTACAGTCAGAAGCGCAGGAGGGTGAGAGAATTCACCAGAGCCAGAGCGGGGAACAGAACAGGCAGATGGATGAAATACACTGCCGAGGGGAGCAGCGGGCGGCAGGAGAGGTCTGTGCGCCATGTGGGACCCTCGCCAGCGGCTGGGGATTGAACTGGCGCTGCAGAGGCTGCGGGCAGCTTCGCAACCCAGCGCTCAACCACTGTGCCACCGGGGAGGCCCTAGGTTTTATATATATACATACACACGTGTGTGTGTATGTGTGTGTGTCCGTGTATGAGGCTAGGTTATGGAAAGAATAGCAACTTTTATAAATTTTAACTTTAGGATACACCAAGTTTTAAAAGTTGTGTTACTAAATATTGTAAACTCAAACAACTGCTTTTAACCCTCATTAGTGTTAATTAAACTTTTATTATGGAAATAAAGACTATTAGACAAATTTACATTGAGAGACTTTTTTGACTAAGGTGATGACAGTGGAGATAAGAGGGGAAGTTTGAGAGATTTTGTTGTAGAATCAATAGAACTTGAAGCTACATTAGAGGGATTTTCTGTTATCTTAGTGTTATTTGGAGTTGCGAATGGTGGACAGAGATGACATTTCATCCCTGGGGAAGGTTAGAATTAAATATAAATGTATTGGAAGCAAATTAAACCCCACATTGTGTTAAATTTACTTTCTGTTAGGCCAAAGAAACCTGCCCTAGACCTATTCATTTGGAAATTGTCAGTATAAATGAAGCCACTGCTTTGGATGAGAGTGCTAGGACCAAGTCTTAGAGTAAGAAGAAGAGGCTTAGAAACAAGTCTTGAAGTACTACAACATTTAATGTTCTGTAGAATAAAGTGAATTTGCAAGGAGAAAGAGAGGAAGGAACAAGAATAGCCTTATTTACCACTATAAATAACCGTTAAATAACTTACTCTTACTCCAATAGAGTGTTTCTGTAGGAAAGAAGGGAGTATTCAACAGTGTCAAGTCCTTACTAAAATTCATACTTAGGGGCCTCCCCAGTGGCACAGGGGTTAAAGCAGTGCTATAAAGCTATTGCCAGCCAGCCACTGTAGCCTGAGTTCAATTCCCAGACCAGCCAGGGAGGTGACCCACATGGCACAGCAGATCTCTCCTCTCTCGACTGCTGCTCCCCTCAGCAGTGTATTTCAGTCCATCTGCCTGATCTGCTCCCCACTCTATCTTTGGTGAATCCTCTCACACACACACCCACTTCTGGCCTACACCCCAGCTCTTGTATACATAAATAATAAATCTTAAAAAAAAATCTTACTTCCACATCAAGTGAGATGAGAACAGGAAAAAAGCACCTTGGATTTAGTGATGTGGGAAGTAACCTTATCTAACACAATTGTTTGCGGTAATAATGGCAGAAACCAGAATAAAACAGATGTGAGGAAGTGGAAATTGAACAACAAAACTTGAGGTTTTATGTGAAAAATGGATAAGACAATATAGCTCCAAAGTGGGTTTTGTTTTCCATTGGATTAAATCAGGTGAAATTAGAGCATTTGAAATGGTGTTGGGAAAGGATTCGGTTGATAAGGAAAAGGAGTAACCAGTTAAAAAAGAGGATTAGTTGGTCTGTGGATTCCCAGTAGATGCAAAAGAACAGGCATCAAAACTAAGGTACAGAGATAATCTTTAAATATTAGGAAAGAGGGCCTCGCTGGTGGCATAGGGGTTAAGTCTCAGCACTATCACCACCCAGGTCTGAGTTTGATCCCAGGCCAGGGGGCTAGCCTACATGTGGCACAGCAGACCGTTCCTATCTCACCTGCTGCTTCCCTCAGCAGTGTATTTCACTCTGTCTCTAATGAATCCTCTTACCTGCCACACCTCTGGCCTACACCCCAGTTCTTCTACACAAAAATAATATAAATAAATATTAGGAAAGAACTTTGCCTTTTCCATAATAAACTAATAATAATAAAATATATTGTTTTTTTGGTATG